AGCTTTTATTAATATAGTAATATAATTCTTCTAGCTCTATGTATAAGTTCGCCAATTCTTATAATTGCTAATAATTTATAAGATTTATGTTGTATTCAATTTTGTGATTACAAATAAAAACGTTGAACTGTTTTTGCGTAAAAAAAAAGTATGCATACAAGCAGATCAAATAAAACAACTGTACTTTCAAATGAATTATTCAAAATTTGGTAAGAAGTTGAATACGTCTTCTTCTTATTTTCTTTAAATGTGAAGGAGCAAACGGCGCAGTGTCTGATAACAAGCCGCGACCTGCGACCTATTCCCCCTCGCCCCCTTAAACAAAGTGCAACTATTACTGCATACTAAGCGAACTACAAGTACGTAGTAAAGAAAACAGGGAGCAGTTATTGATGTACATACATACATTAAGGCCTTGATAAAAGGAATTCCGGCTTTATGCCACTCTCATTAATAATGCATGATACACCAAAAAGCAAATAATTGAACAATCAAAGCTTTGAGAATTCGCTCTAACTATGCTCCTCAATAGAATTTCCATTTAATTCCAATACCTGTTTCTGCAGTTTCCCCAACAGTTACAAAGTTTTCAACCTAAAACACCTCAAGAAATCGCACATCCGACACTCTATATCCGTTGAATTTAGAATTTAACCAAAAACAAACAATTTATTGAGACTACAGAAGAATTTGGAAAAGCTTGGTATTATTTTTGATACAAGAAAAACTTACCATATTTCTTGAAAAGCAATTTGGCCAAGCTCTACTGTATCCTGTGTTTTGTTTGTGAGTGTTTTGGTTGTCAGTGTCGCTTCAGCATGATATCGATAGAACGAATTGGCAGACATTTCACGTACACACATACAGAATCGCCCACATATGCTGTAAATGGGTTAACATTTCAAACTTTCAGCTTGCTCGCTGTCTCAGGCTCTCCGCCTCTCCGCCTCGGTCTTACTCGCACTTGGCAGCTTTAAGCGCCTGACTCTCGGAGTGGTTTATCGTCTTATCTCGTACATATTTTACAAATTGCATCCGTTTGTCGCTTTTGGCAGCCATATTGCATAGCTAAACAACTTCCGCACGACTGATTGTGAGTCAATTACCAAAATTTCATTTTGTCGGGCTTAAGCAGATAGTTTGACTTCCCGGTTAGTCGCTTGATCTACGCCCTGCCTACAATTTCCACGTTATCGGGCGAAACGTGAAGCTACAAAAATATATATAATTTTATATTTTAGTAATGATTGTGATAGCTTACAGAAAATTAAATTTATTTCGAGAAAAATATCAACTTAAAAGCGTTTTGTTTTTGACAACAGTACATTTGAAAACCTAATATTAATTAATGAGTTATTTAACTTTTAAAAAATATGATTACACTTATTTATTTTCATATCAGTAGTTAAATGCTTTATGTTTGGAAATGAAAATTTCATCTTGGAGATTTATTTACAATGTTATCAATAAATTCATGTTGTTATAGAAAGAAGCCAAAATTAGAGGCCAATTCTGTTGATAACTTAAAAGACTCCCGGAACATACTTAAAAAGCGTTAGTTAGAATGCATTGAAAGCCTATTTATTGCCCTTTCTTTAAAATGGTGCTGATACACGAATACGGCCGGCTGGTGCAGCGCCTCTGTTTCTGGCAAAAACTATAACAACAAAGTGCGAACACCAGCCATGCCCACTCAACGAACCATGAAGCGAGTCTAAAACAAGAAAGAGCATTAGCATCAGCAGGCACCGAATTGAACATTCATACATACTTGTACTCGTACCGGGAGGGAGCAAATGTTACAACAACAATGAGAGTCATAAAACCGACAGAGGGACTGACCCAATGAAATGGGCTAAGATTTGCGCCAAAGTCACGTAAGGCAAATAAATTTTGTATGATGCTGGGTAGCTGGTAGCAGCTCGCAGCTCTGGACCTAGGGGAGGCGTACCATCAAAGTAGCTCAAATTTGTAACGGTAATTTACGCTAGACAGCTAGCCAAGTACATAGAAGTGCCGCAAACTTGTAAGCATATACACACATACACATACATACATACATATTTACTAAGTATATCATGCAATGACTACTAAATAGACTTGACCGCGCCCAACTGTTTCCTGTCGCTCTCCAGCTGCCCAACTTTGTTCGGCTGCCCATCTAATTTAAATGGATTCGCATCGTGCACCAAATTGAATTAAAAGCCCACACACACACACACATACACACACACACACTCACACCCACATACATACACTCACACACAAACGGGCACTTGGAAAAATGTGCCCAAATTATCCATAAAAATGTAAAAATCTTTTGCACGCAATTTACGAAATAAATTTATTGCCCGAAATATGCTTTTGATTTGCCTTTCTATTCTACTTGTATTCTCCCCTTCGACCATTTTGCCCATACACATACAAGTATATACATACAAGTATATCTTTTATGGCTCTTATAGAAATTAAAATGCCATTAAATTGGCTGGCAAGTAAATAAAGTGAGCGCCCATAAATGAAATAAGTAGACGCAGTTTTATTAGTTGTCTGCAGTTGCAAATTGAATTGGCATTAAAACAAACTTTTATCTTTTTGCTCCGCCTCCGCCTCTGCTTTGTTTTTGGCAACAGCTCTCGATTGCCTGCCCCATTTTTATGGCCCAAATACCAGTAAGTATCTCAATTTGTGTGCAGCCACCGCTCTGCTGCTTCATTTTATTGCAGATGACGGTTTTTATGTCTGCATTTTGAAATTGTGCGATTTTTAGTTGCTTTTATTAGACAACTTGTCGCAACAAGATGGAAGCAACACAAAGCAAAGGCGCTCCTCTGAGTGAGGGAGCGTTGTACCTTTCGTATCAATTCTTTATGCTGCTTAAGTTTTATGTGCAATTTCATGATTTTCTCACTTTTATGAGAAAAGTTTTATTTATGACTCTCTAATTTGCTGTGCGTTATTATTTGCAATCAATTCTTGCATTAATATCTGTCGATAATATCAAGGAAACTTGTGACATTATCGTAGAGTTGTAAGCGAGAAAAGAATCAATTAAATATAAATGAACATGTCTAAGGTATTTCTATTATTAATTATTTATAATATATAAAGAAACTGCTTGTAATTAATCCATTTAATAGCTATAAGAATTAAGACAAAAACAACTTTTCATGCCAAAAAGATAGTCCCCTCATTTAACTCCTATAAAAAATATTTATTTCTTAAACTCTCTCAATCTGAGATTGTCAGTTGCTGAATGAAAGATGTTTACTTAAAGAAAATGAAACATTATTTCAATATTGCTGCCTCTCCACTTACAGACCCCAATACACAATCCCCACAATCAGAAACAAATTGATAATTCTGACCTAATTGTGAACTCTATATATCATTGACTTAACTACTGCATTTAGCTATTTATACTTGTATAGCGATGAGGTGCAGGTTCACTCTTATTTTGGCTACAATTTCCATTTAAATACCAAAGCAAAATAACTTCATCAACTTGGCACTTATACGGAAGCGCAAAAACGAAACGAAACGAAAAGGAAAGGCAAGGAAAGGAAAGGAAGGGAAGGAACCCATCCCAGCACCCTCTTTCGTATAAATTAGTTGTCTGAGGCACCACTCCCTCCATGTCCAGCCATTTGGCAGCCAAGTAGCCGTGTGCTGTGTTGATTTTACGACATTTAAGAAGATTTATGGCTACACCTTGCTTACAAACGTGCGCCAAGTTCACCAGCGTCCATCGTCCAGCGACCGGAAGTCGTCGACTCGGAGTCGTCACGAGCCAGCGATGCTGCAGTTGACGTCCAGTAACCAGATTCAAGTTGGGCAAATTGCCGAAAGTCATTAAGTTTGCGCATCAGTGCAACAGCAATGAGATTTCCTTCAGCCGTGCACCCAGGCAGTCGAGCAGCGGATAGGTTGCAGCAACATTCAACGTTGTTGGCAACGACTGCTACGGCTTATTTTTATTCAATCCCATTTTTATATGCGTTCTGAAGGCCCAGACCGAGTCGGAGGCGCTTGGGCTCTTAATACGTGCCAGTCTGCTTTGGCGAGCTCTTATCATAAATATAATTACACTTTCATTTCCGTTTTCGACTCAAGAGCATTTCGTCTCGTGGTCGTACTTGACGTCCCATGTGGCGTATGAGTAATGCGCCTTTACTACTAGATGTGAGTGTTTATAACACTATAATGTTCAGAAGCAGCGTAAACTGCTGATGTAACTACCCCCCCCTTTGTTGGGCTACGTATTTTTTACTTACAATTATCCAAAAAGAGAAGAAACCCTTTATAAATATAATTACAAAGATAGTCGTTGATCCGATTCAGAAAACAAAAAAAAAAAAACACAGAAAAACACAGTAGTAATCGATATAGTATCACTATCATAATGGTTTGCACTACGCTTCAATTTCCAAAAACATACTAAGCAGCTTATCTGAAAGAAAATAAACCAGTAGATTTCTTTGCATACAATTGGCAATAATCACCAAACAAATAGAAATCCTATATATACTATATATAATTATAGAGATAGTCCTCGACCTGATTCAGAATACAAGCAAACAGGCGCTATATCAATCCATATAGAATTCAGTAGTAATCTATATAATCTATTCTTCTACTCGTTGCGTATAGCACATAGATAGGTAGTTCACCCAAATAACCATTGGAAGACTAACCTGGTAGAGGAATTTCGAAACACAAGTTGAAATACCGAAATATCGAATTCAAAATGATTTATTTGTAGGCTCAAAGTATACTTATACGTTTACGAGTAAGGGAAACTGCTGGCAATAATAAAAAGCAACCAAAAACAAAGAAAAATAAGTCAAAATTTGCAGTTCAAAAGCATTCAAAAAATATTGATAATGCGAAAAAATCGCATTCAACTGGAATAGTGACCGCCATCCACACACAGCCGAACCCAAGCACGTACATACGGCAACTGCCACAAATAACAGAGACACCGGGACACCGGCAACAAGATGTCTACAATGCTGGAGGAGCTGCAGCAAATGACCAACGCCCAATTGTGCATCATGTGCCATGACTATCACATCACACCTGGCCACATAACCAGCCAGAGTCGTCGGGAACTGGAACGGAGATTACTGCTGGCCATAATTGCGGAGCGAGCCAAGCAGCGAGCCAAGGAGCAGAGTCGACGCGAACAGGCCCTGCGGGAACATTATGAAGTCTGCAAGAAGCCAAATAATATTAACAACACTGCGCCCAGGCGTGTGCTCGAACAGGTGGCCAGAAATACGGGAAATCTCGCTCCTCTGCCCGCCCCCAATGCTGTGGCTCGGCGCGGCATTCTGCGCAATGCCACACGCCATGCCTGCACCATGACCACGCCCTCGGTACTGCAGACGAGCCACATACGTCGCCCCACGCCCTATCCCTTGCCCACCCACCAATACCAACGCAGCCGCCCACACCCCACACCTCAGTGCTCGGAGACCTCGACGGCCACAACAATAGCCTCCATAAGCAGTCGCCTGCCCATGCAGCTGTGGCGGTATCAAGCCGCCCGCGGCTTGGGCGCCCACACACTGCCTCTCAAGCGGACGATCCGCATTGAGGAGCGACGCGGCGGAGAGCGCCGGACCGCTGGTGCCGAATGGCAACGGCAAAGCGAGGAGGAATGCGAACAGTATGATCAGCAGGATGAGGAATACAATCATTATCAGCTATATGCTCAGCAGTGGCGTGAATATGCTCATCGCCAGTCGCACTTCTGGGACCAACTACCCATCGCAGATAATAGGGAGCATACGCAACATGCTCCAGAGATGGAGGAGAGCGACTTTCGAAACAACTATGGCTCCTTTTCAAGCTGCAGCAGCAGTGTCAGCCTGCTTAGCCGCCTGACACAGAATAGCCAGAGCCTTGAAAACTATTTGATGAGCGCCTCACGCCTAGCCTGTCTATCGAAATCAGCGGCATCAATGAATCAGGCATTTCAGTTCAAATGCGATGACAATACATCGCAATCGGAGCACGAGTTGCGCACCCTGAACTATTTGTCGGCCGAGGAGCAACTGCAGCTGCTGGCAGAGAAGCGGGCCTATCTGGAGGATAAGGAAGTGCTGGAGATAATGCGCCGCAGAGATCAGCTTGAGGACAGCGATGATGGATTTGAAATTGATTGGTTCGTTTCGGAGGAGCGGCAACGGCATGAACCCAGCTTCTGGCGCTATATGTTTCAACTGATCTGTTGCAATCGCTATGGCAAGCTCGATGCTGAGAAAATTCGATGCACCATTCTGTGTTGCGGCATGGCGGTATGCGTGTTTATGGTCTACAAAGCCATGCATTGAACACACTGCACACACCAGAACCATGCAAGCATTATGAGAAATAGATTTTGTTTAAGAAAGAAAGATATAAAGATATCTATCTGATACGAGAGTTCGCAACCAACAAATCTGCGGTAGGTGGTGTTAGAAAAAAAAGCCATCATCGAGCTTGGCTTGGGTTCGGCATGCGTGTCAATGTCGATGCATTGAGAAACACTGCTGATTGATTGATTTCTGTGCAACCAGTTTGATTTCTCAATCATTGCATTGCACTGCTCTCGCGTCCTAGGTTGCTATTCAAAATTCAGAAAAATGTCGCAGAAAAAAAATTTGTTTCCATAGAGTACAACAATAAAATTTAAATTTATGCGCGCAAATGCAAACAAAAATATTAATTAAAGCGCCAGCACAGGGCTGCCCTTTTACCATCGGAAATATATGTATACAAAGTATATTGTTCGATATGTGTTTATTTCATTTAATGAAAAAAACAGCATTAGAAACAGTTAAAATTAACATAAATCGATTGCGCACCATATAAGCCGGAAAATGTAAGCCCAAGAAACAAGCAGGCCCAGGAGCTCGGTCATCTTATCTTAACTAAAAGAATATATTAGCACGCAACGCGACTCTTATACTACGTCCTTTTGATTTATTTCTTTACATTGTAAGCACGACGCTTAAATGGAAAATTTGTTTACATACTCTACCGATTATTGCACTGATATGTCAGTTTTAATATTTATAGCCTGTACCCAAAGGGTAAAGGGCTATACTAGTCTAATATTAATTGGTGCCATCTATGGGACATAGGCAATACTTATTCGGGGTGTGTGTCTTATTTCAAATAACTCTGTTGTTAGCGCATGTGCACAAGCATCTTTAGTTAATACACTTACCTTATTTTAAAGAAACATAAACCATGATTATCACAGAAATCTCATCCGACCGTATTCCAATCCAATACTTGGATTCCTCAAGCCCTATCATGTAAAATATCACTTGCTTTATATAGTATAGGGGTCATATTTGGCGGCATTGTTATCAATAGGCCGCATAAGTTTATTCGATAGATAGCTATGTGTTATGTCTTGAGCTTGATATTCCTGTTCCGAAGGAGTTATGTTACCGATTAATGCTACATACCTGGGCATCAAGCTGGCTTACATTCAAGCCTCGTGGTTGCCAACTGCTGGAAACTGGCCAATTTCAATTGGCTCCTATAGCTGGCCTGGCCAAACTGCTCCTGAGATGCAGGAGGGCTGTCATTAATACTCCGCATTTTGTCCCAACATGGAGCTGTGGTGTCCTGTTTCGGAGATTTGCAGATAAACAGGCACACCAGTTGGTTCAACGAGCGATTAAGACCTCTCCGCAGCAGACTGGCCAGCCAGAAAGGAGCCGCACCTTTAAATACTCAAAATTGTTGTATATGTGTATATATGTATATGTATTCGCACAATTTTATTAGTAAACGTTCATTAAAACTACACTCAACTACAAACATGTATGTTATGCAACTTATTACGATTAGAATTCTTTTATTTCTCGACATACTCTTGCCGGGTTGGAAACATTTTAAACTGCAATCGGTTAGAGAGTTAGTGTTGATTCGATTTTACATGACGTCACAAACCTAATTTAAATTTATTTAAAAGTATGTAATAAATACGTACGTATAAATTATAATGCAGTTGCTTCGGCTGAACGCCTTCGCGTTGTGCTCCTTGCAGCGCTTTATTGTCCTTCAATAAATGTGGTTTTATTATTAATTTTATTATTATAAATATCCGTTTATGTTAATTTTTATATATACTTAAGCTATTAAGTATTTACAAAGCTCAACTATGAACACGAACTTTAACGGCATTGAAATTTAAATGTTTTATAGTGTTACGAAATCTATTTGATCGTTTTACCATTTTCCATGACAATCAATAAAAGGTGTATTCTCAAGTTATAAAGTATAATTGTCTTTTTTCAGATCCATAATTGGTTATGGTTTTGTGTTTATAAAGCTTGCTTATCGACTGCACCAACAAGAACTAAATACATACATACTTGTATGTATATTTAATTTTCTTTAACACTCTCGACTTGCATTTTTGTTGCCCTCAAATATACTTTATAATAATATGTCCATTAATTTTTAACTTCTTGTATTACTAATTATGAAATTATGCAAATTAATTATGCAAATTTGAACTCGATCTGATTTAATTGTAATTATATTATAAATTATTTACACAATGAAATACATAAGTATTGCTCAAATTTAGTCGCTAACAAAATGGAAGAATTTTCTTTTAATCGCTTTAAATCGATTCTTTCATTTGCTTCATTTAATTTGTTGTTTTTGTTGGTTTTGTTGTACAGTTGTCTCGCTTAAGACAAATGCTTTTAAAAATTCGTTGCTGTTTTAATTGTGTTTGTGTTTTTATTAGTACTTGTACTCTGGCAGCTGAGAGGCTGCTGCTTCCTTAAATCTTCTTGAAACTCAAATGCGTCTTGGTCGCCTCCAATGCAAACAAATTGAGGCCAGCTAACGAAAACGATAGGCGATGTTACCATAATCCTCCTCATCATCGTCGTCATCATCGCTATCGCTATCGTCGCGTGGCAGTATATGGAGCCAGGTCCACAACTTGGACAACACGCCCACTCATCGTTTGCGATTATAAGCGCCAAGGCAAGACTGCCTTCATTCCTTCATTTCATGTCCATTGGCGCCCAGCTCGAGGAGCTCATGGGGCTCAGCATTTAGCTGTAAGGCATAAAGAATGTGAGCACTGCGTTTAAAAACTATTCATAGGGCCTGTCAGCTTACCCGGTCTACGCTCGCCAGATCGTTCTTCGACAGATGATTAACCAAAATAGTGCCGAGGGCATCGCACATAACGTTGATGGTGGTGCGGAAGCGATCCCTAAACAAAAGTCCTTTAGTAAGCAGTACTTAGCCAACCACAGCTATACTTACAGCAACCAGTCGACCGCAATAATCAGCGACACATCCTTCGGCTCCAGCCCCACCGTGTCCAACACCATGACCATGGTAACCAATCCCGCTTGGGGTATGCCAGCCGCTCCAATAGAAGCCGCCGTTGCCGTAATACTGACCGCCACAATGGTGCCAAAGGAGTAGCTCATCTCACGATACTGAGCAATGAACAAGGCCGCAACAGCCTCGTACAAGGCCGTGCCATCCATGTTGATGGTGGCGCCCACAGGAATGACGAAACGCGTAACTCGCGGATCAATGCCCATATTATCCAGACATTTGATGGTTAACGGCATCGTAGCCGAACTCGATCCTGTGCCAAATGCTGTGGCCAGCACTTGACTGAGCTTGGCAATATAGCGATAGGGCAGTCGACGTGTTCCCAAAAAGAATATCACGGCAATGGTACCTAAAGAAATTATTTAATACACATAAGTACGATGCCTGCTTCCAATTAGCCTTAATTATGAAAAGCGGGGATGGAATCGTTTTCAATTTCTCGATTTTGAATCTTTTTAATGTAATTCCCTTGGACTGTTTTCTTTTTTTAAATATTTTATTTTTTGTGAAAAGAAAAATATTCAATTATCAAAATTATTTAAATGGATTTTAATTAAAACATGATTGTATTTTCTTTTTGAAAAGAATAAATTCATGATACTGCGAGTCAAAGCTCTTAGAAATAAAATATAAATGTATAGTATACCAAGTATAATAATATAATAAAAATCAATTAAATCAAACATAAACTTACCAAAGCCATGCAGGAATAGGCCTATCATAACTGTGATGAAATACCAGCCTAATGACTGTATGGTGGCAGCTATAGATTCCATTTCAATGATCTTAGCCGCTATCAGAAATGCAACACCCAGCGGCGATATCCTAAAAGGCAACTTGATTTGAGCGCATTTCCTATAAACTGGTGCTCCCCCGTTTGCTTACCAAATAACCCAGGACGTGATTGTCATCATTGCCTCACTGAGCGTGGTAAAGAAATCCTGCAACAGCTGGCCCTTCTCCCTCATCCGGCCAATGGTCGTTCCTAATATCACACTGAACATGACTAGACCCAGAACATTGGAGCCTTCACGTTGCGCGGACTTGAAGTCCCATTCCTCCATCGGCACTGTTAACGGGAGAAGTAGTATTTGATCAATCAATGGAGAGTTCGCTTGAATTCCTTATTTTCTCACTTACATGCGGGCGAAATGCTGGTATTCTCAAAGATCTCTGTGCGATGCTGTGGGTTGAGAGAAGTAAGCAATTTAGGCAAAGATCTTAGTGGTTATAGTACACCCCAATAATCCAATTGTGTACGTAAATATGCATCCGAGATATAAGTATGTGTGGAGGAGTATTTCAACAGCCCTCTGCTTGGTGCTTTGATTCAATTTAAAGCTGAGCTGCTAATGGATGCACACACACACATACACACACACACACGCGCGCGGGTGTAGATTCATTTAAATATTTGTACGTGCTATAATTGAAATATAAACCATAAGCACTGCCGCTGCACTCGTTCGCCGTTTCCCATTTGTTTTGTTCATTGGCCGATGTTATCCCCAAATACCGCACGGACGAAAGCAGCGACTCATGTCAGTTTTGATTATGCGACTTTTTTTGTTGTAAACAGATTTTTGCGCTGCAGAACCTCAGCAGTAGCACCACAATTGGATAATTGACGTTGACGTTCAGTGGCCCAACAGTGCGTATGCGTAATGCCATTTCGCGGATTAGCGATCGTGACAAGACACAGCAGAGGGGCCCCTAAATGTGGTGGCATTTCAGCAGCTCAGTAACACTCAGTGATATTCCATTCCCTTACAGAAATTTCCACTGCCAGCCATTCCTACTTCCAAACAAGTTCGTTTTAAATAATTCCCGCGTGTTACAATGTATCTTTTTGTAACTATTTTTCAATCAAACAATCTAATTAGTCCTCTCTATTCAACGTGCATAAACCCCAAACTAAAAATCAGTCACGTATAATGAGATCATTAAAAACCATCACATTTATCACTTATGTTCCCATTTCTAATGTTTCGTCGCCCTTTTTCACTCCAGCTATTCCTTTCCTTCAAAAACCACCTCAAATGCTATTATTCTTTTGCAGTTATTAACGTTTCATCTTGTTTCTCCCATTCCTAACCACTTTCATTAACAACTAAAAATAATGGTATATTTCTTGGAAACCAATTAATGTTCACTGTCAACCAAATACTTAAGCAAGGCTATTGTTTTTTAATTTTAGGCGACAGTTCTAATTTTAATTCTATTTCATTTTTTAATTAGATGTGGCTTACCTGAAACATTGTGGACTGTATGATGTTATCCGTAAACATATTGCTATAATACAAAAATATTGAAGTGTTAGTGTAAGTGATAATAAATATTTCTCGAGTCCGTCCACCTACCGCACTAAATCCATTAACGTATCGGGCGTCAACACCTTTGATGCCTTATCAATAGTCTCGGTGCGCGTTTCCACAATTTTGGCGCCCTGGCCGGGCCTGATGGTTGTGACTAGACAAATGCCCAATATAACGGCAGATAGAGTCGTAACAAAGTAATATGTTATCGCTCTGCAACAACAACAACCCGTTATTGAAAAGATACAATTAATAGAATTGTAAGTGACCTACCTTGTGGCAATTTTACTGGACATGCTCAGATCCAAGCCACCAATAGCGCTCGTTATGGAAGAAACCAGTAAGGGCACAATGAGACATTTCAACATGCTGGAAATTGGCAATGGAATAGTTAATAAAGTTCAGGACTTAAGGATCTGCAAATGGCCTCTCACTTACCGCAAGAATATCTCACCCGGGAATGATATATACATAATCTCACGTTTTGTCCATTCGCCGGTGCTGTTCTTAATGATAAAGCCCACGAGGCCGCCCGCAAAGACACCAATGACGGTGGCCATTGTGAGCACATTCTCCTTCATGAAACTTTTGAATTTGCTTTCATCTTGCTTGGGTCGCGTCATTTTGAATGTGTGTGTGTGTGTGTGTGTGTGTGATTAGATGTGCGCTCTAGATCAGAACGCACTATTTCGATGCGTTGTCAATATGAATTAGAATTCCCTTGGACTTAGACAAAGCTAAGCCAATTTAGGGACCTTCTCCTTAGGTTTGCTGCTGCAAGTAGAGAAACGGAAAGCCTGTTATTATTCCTATGAAACTAATCCATTTTAAGGCCCCACACTGGGCGCTCATATTTTTGAATACCCCAAGCTTTTATAAATAATTTCTTTATGGGTTGCTGTAAGGTTAAAACAAATTTATGAGTCACCTTTGCCATTTAAATATATTCTGTTTGTGTTCTAAATAAATATTTAGTTGCCTCTAAGATTAAGCCTTATTTATAGCTTTTTAAGAAATGTAAGTGAAAACCTTTCAAGGCCTCTTTTTATGAGCGCATTCAGGTACAACGCACTTCTACTGTGTTTTTTTTTTTACTGTTCCACTTCTGTTGCCTTGTGTACACATATTTTATTATAATTTTTGTGTTTCCATTGAAACGTTTAAGCTCTTAAGCGCATTTGATGGATTAGGAACGCCCATCCTAAGAAATCCAACGATTGCGGTCACTAAAAGTGCCTCATTTTAGGCGCCTAATTATTATTATTATTATTTTATAGAACTATGCCCGCTTTCCTTTATGCTGTGTTTAATTTATACAATGTTAGCTTATTTTTAATGCACTTTGCAGTATCACCTTTTTTCACCCTAAAAGCTTATAAGTATTTTAATCCTGTCAGCTCACTTTTTTCAACAAGTCTATCGCACATGCGCAGCTGCAAAAGTTTATTTTGCGTCTACTTATATAGGCTTTTTATTTCACGTCCGAGTTTTTCGCTTCTACCTCGCTTGGCGGCAAGCCGTTGACTACTGAACGAGCGAGCTCAGATGTCGAGCTTTTGGCAAATGAGTTCAAATTACAACCCCCATGAACCTGAAGCGAAAACTGCGATCCAGCATCCGCAACGGGCGCGTCGCTCGCTCGTAGAACCGATTCGGTATGGTTCTCAATTCAAGGGGTATACGAGCATGCCTGTATGTACATACTTGTATGTATGTTGGTTTATATAACCAGCTGCCATCGGTTTTTGCGATTTGCCTGGTGGTGTTACTTTTGACGCTTCAGTAGTCAATGGGCGGATGTTGTTTGTTGCGTTTCGCGGAAGGAAGTTGCCCAAACTTTCAGGATTTGCTGTACTTAGGGCTGCAACAACCAAGGTCGTTGAAAGTGCTGCCCAAGTATGCCCAAATACTCAGCCATGTAAGCTGGCATCGACACACCCTTATAGAATAATACAAATATTGTGGCTGGCAATTAAAACCCCAACGGCTTTTAGCACCAATTAGGCTTTGACACTTTGGTTTTGTTTTCAAATTCATTGCACTTGCAGTTTTTCGCACCAAATGTGCTAAAAATTGTTTACAAACAAACAAATTGCATCCATAAATGCAGCTCAATTAATGGACTCGATAAACATTTTCCATCAAGTGAATTTGAATAGAATTCGCCAACTAATGAAAAGTAATGCGCGCTCTCTACCGTGGGTGCAAGGCCATCATTTGTGCCCCACAAATGGCCATACGCGTCCCCTCCGACGGTGTGATCAATGAAAGCTGATAGTCCGATCATGTGCCAACACTCAGAACTGACCCAAATTGATGTTAGTCTCAATGTAAAAAGAGTGCTTAATTGGGCGCACAGACAACGATCTATGCACATACATTCGAGTAGTACTTGTGGTACGAAACCACAGTAGAGAGCTGTGCAGCACAATGGATTAATAAAGAAATTTCACACTTCGCTACTCGTGCCTATTTGTTGCCTCAATGGCAATACAATTCACAGGCAGATGTGGCAAGAATGTAATTTACAAATTTGATCGCATTTTCGACAAGTACATATTTGAATGTGACAGCAAATTGAATTTGGTTCTGAAAGACTAAAATCATTAGGAGAAGGCAAATGTACCTTTGTGAAATGCAAATGTAAACCAAATACAAATTCACAAATAATTGTAACAAATCGAGCAAAAGTATAATAACTAAAACGCTAATAAATAAAAACAAACACACATATCGATTGCAGTATTGAATACAACTAAGCACTACAGAGCTATGCTCAAGGATTTGAATTAATTTTAAGAGGTTATAAATGTGAATATTTCTGGCCGGGCATGAGATTTTTATATACAAGTACTATATATTCGATTTAAAGTAATTGAAACTATCACTAATAAATATTTAGCAAGCGCCAACTTGAAATTATTGCAGCGATAAGTTTCGTCTGTCCATTACAATGGCAGGCTTCTTCAAATACACATTAAGCTGCTTAAATCAGTTCTAGAAATGTGCAATTACCGATAAATACCGGTTGAATTCCTAGCATAAGGGCTCGCTCCCTGATTGATCATCCCACATGAGGTAATGAGATCATTGATCGTGGCTGAAATGAAAACAGTCGCGTGCCTCGTAAACTGCGCAATAATCGCTTGGGAATGTCATTATGTGGATCTCATGGAATACCTATCTGTCTGCCTATATAGTACACATTTCTGTGGCTCATCTGATTGCTGTATCGTATTTGAATTGTGACATGTGCTCGTCGTTGAGGCTGTGCCACACCCCCGTATGCGTGGCAGCAGATACATAGGTGTGTGTTCTATTTATTGGAGAATGAAATTCGATTCTTCACAATAGGTGCACATTTATTGTATGTGGATGGAGAAACTATGTATGTATGTTCTAAGCTCATAGTAGTTCTATATTGTGGTTTGCTGACAGACCATCCGAGGTGAATGAAAAGCATGCGGCCTTTTAATAACTAAGTAACTAACTAGCAAAAGCATGTTTATCCTACATTTCCTTCATCTTGTTTGATTAACGATCATCTCATTTGATATCTACATACCGGTTATACAACTGCATATAAACCTGTTTTGTAAATAAGACATTCCCATTTGTATATGGCAATTTGAAAAGCATTCACAAACTAATTTACTTACAAAAACTGCACATTAATATGCCGCCTAGGCACGAGTATGTCGTCACGCCTAGCCCCTTAGTCAGACAGTGCCGCTATTTGTTTGTTATTCTTGTTTTTTTATTATTACTTTGTTTATTTGCAATGCATCAACATTGCATAAATGTGCCTGCTGCTGTGTTTTCCACAGAATTGACCGCGAATAGTGCAAGTAAATGAATTTATTTACACATACTTCTGAGTAGGAACAAATGTTTTCCAATGCAAGCGCGAAAAAGTCAAAGTATATATAATACTTGTATGTAAAGTGCTTCACTAATCATTTCAATTTATTTATAAATAATATTGCACTTCCTAAACGGAAGCTTGTGATATACGAGCATGTGGGCTTTGCAATTAAGCATGGCAGGATCACAAGTCTGCTATTGAACTTGGTGTGAATGACAACGGAAGTATAGGATTGCCATGGAAATTCGAAGCGACTGATGATGATGAAAGCTATTTGGGGTGCAACGATATTTATCATTCAAACTGGGGAACTTGAACTAGATCGCATAATTGTGCAATATAACCAATTTATTATAATCATACAAGTAATTCACGTATTGCTGCAGTCATCCGTCTGTTTGTTGTAGCTCTTCAACTGCACACTTGGCATATTTCTTCACAAATTTCTAATATTTACGGTCTCTTTAAAAACAAATGTTGTTAAATATTTATTTTGTTCTTCAGCATTTTATCTCAAGTGTTAAATAAATGTAATTTTTAGTGGGGATACTTGTAGTATAGTATTTTTACTTCTTTCTATGGATGAGAATGACAAACTCTAATTTCTCATTTTAGGACAAATTTCATAGAAAAGTATTGCTCGTTTTAAAATAATAATAATAACTGACAAGGACTGCGTATAAAAGCTGTTAATTAATGAGTTCTTTACAGTCTGTAAAGTCTTTAAAGCTAAGCAAGTCAAACCAAAATAATTGAAGATCCATGATAGATTTTCTCTTCCAACCTTGAAAATCGTCGAATTGTCTAGAAACTACACAAATAATATTTATCAATAGAGTGGAACACGCCCAGAAAGTGCTGATTAAGCATGCCACTAACCTCTATTTCTAACACATACTGGACAGCTCGCAACAACTGCGAAATGCCCTGCATTGATTGGCATAAAGGTCAATCAGTTGAATAAACAAAACAAGATAGAACGCTACAGTCGAGCAAGCCCGACAGTAAAATAGCCTGTACCCTCCACAAAAAAAGAAAAATTAAAAAAAAAAAATTTTAAAAAAAATTAAATTATTAAAAAAAATTAATGAATTAATTAATTAAATTAAATTAGAGTATATGTTTATGTTTAGTTTTAACAGCATACATTTACATCACGTACCTATGCGTGTTTATATGCGTGTATGTATGCAGCACAAAGTTGAACCAAAGCAGCAACAACAACAACAGCTGCGGGCAGCGCTGCCGACAGAGGCAGCGCATGAGCAGCGATTTTACTTATGGCTATAACTTTCTTCAGAATTGACCTATCATGATGAAATTTGGCACACGGACACATTAGTACTAACTGGATGTACCTACCAAAATTGATTTCAAAATTCCGAGAATTACGGAAGTTATAAGAAAAAACACGAATTGCGGGGGAGTGGGGGGGTGCATCGAAAAAAAACTCAAACTCGTACTTTCTCGGTCTTAGGAGAATATGGAAACCAAGTTTGGTTATTCTAGCTCTTATACTTTCTGAGATCCTTGCGTTCATACGGACAGACGGACAGACAGACGGACAGACGGACAGACGGACAGACGGACGGACGGACAGGGCTATATCGACTCGGCTTCTCATCCTGATCAAGAATATATATACTTTGTGGGGTCTGCCACGCCTCCTTCAGTGTGTTACATACATGCGCACAAAACTAGTATAGCCTTTCACCCTTTGGGTACAGGCTATAAAAATAACAATTGCCGGCAACTAATGCTGTCGTTCGTTGTTGTTGCTGCGGGAGTGTTTATACACATATATGTATATATGTATGCTTAAATATGCTTACTAATTAAATAGCTAGACACCTTTTTTAATACAAGTACATGCAATAAATGCAAAACAACAAATATTTCAGTGTCAATGCTGCTTCTAATTTGCATTTTCATTGTAAACAATTATAAAAACATCAAACAGCGAGAGCGTGGACATATGCTAGAAAAGGCGAGTCTCATACTTTATGGGAGAATAAATTAAAATGCCGACGCCTATTGAAAAACCAGTTCAGACTGAACGAAACTGCAATGAGTTAGACCATAGACTGAGATCATGCCAATCAATATGACTTACTTACTAAGTGGGCTCAATTATTGATTAACTGGGTGTTGGACAAAATGAAAAATATTTAACTATAATCCAGGATTATAATAATAATATAACCGAAACTATTCCAGACTGATTGGCTATTCGTAAATAGATTTATAGATAGATATAGATATCATTAGTGCAGCATAAAGCACTGAATAATCGTAAAGTAGTCCGTTCATAATTGATTCAAAGACATTATCATATCGTTCAGATCCTCTTTTATGCGCATGATAATTATCCTTGATATATCATACCTCTATACTGCTAATGCAGAAAGGCATGAGCGCCACTTGAACGCCTTAATAACCCAATTGTCAGGTGGGGATTACCTCGCCCGCGCTTTCATCTATTAGCGCGCATTCACTTGCTTTGCACTTAAGGCCCCCGCCTCATACCCTTCGCATACAAGTTCATTAAGCCTTTTGGCTTGCAGTGTCCGCCCTGCAAGGACACACAAGATTACAGCTTGGATGCACAAGTAAAAGCACCAATCTCCATTTGATTGCTATATTATGCGTAGAGGAAATATATAGCAAAAGGGGTATTTCTGACAAATTTTAAATATAGAAATACATAATCAAAGATAATTTACAACATTTAAATAATTCAAAACTATAGTATATTCTACGAAGTATGTATGTATGTCCTTCTCAGAGAAAAGATCCTGTTAGCTTTCTATAGAAATAGAGGATATGAAAGAATTGTTAATCATCTTTTTAACCTACCCAACATAATAAAAAGACCTCACCTAGCAACTCATGGTCATAAAGCTACCGTTAAGCTAAGAATCAACCGCTTTAAGCCAGATGGGATGATAAGCCATATATATGGATGCTATAAACGATGATGCTATGTTGATAAAAACGATTGTTTTGCAGCTGCTGGTTTTAATTGACCCGTAGACTAGTTGTCTGTTTGAGATTCGAGCATTCGTGTCTTATCAAGATCTATGGAATCTTCTGGAGCGCAAATATTAAAACAATGCTCACTAGATAATGAAATTCGAGCAAAAAAAAAGTGAATATGTATGAGTCTTATGGGCGAACATAGATAACAAACAAACTTAAACTAGTAGCTGATATACAAATTGCTTAGCATACGAAAAGTTTACAAATTGAACAAAGCTTATAAATATGTATTTAGGAATTTTTTCAGCTTGAAGAGTCTGCAAATCATTCAAATGATTACCAGTTCATTGGCAGTAAATATTTCATTTAAAACATGAGCATTCTAGATTTCATTTGCAAATGCCAAAATAAATTATTTTAATCTAAATTTGAAGCAGCCCAGACGGACTTTATTCAATAACATTTTAACTGACAGTGAATTTTTTGTTTTTACTGATAAGAAAAGTGTTTTTGTCTACTCAGACAAAACGAATAAATTTGCTTATTTAGGTTGACATACTTGAGGCAAAAAGAAAAGAACAAACAGGTGCTGGTGAGCGCCACTTCACTTGTGATTTGATTAATGCTCCGCGGCACAAACAATATATATTTTAAGTGTCTAATGCGATTAAATTTATTGGTCTGTCAATTTATTTAATTAAAAATGGAAAATTCTAGAAATATACCATATAAATTCATTAATTATATATGTATACGAGCATACAACTGGGCGTCTTACTAGAAGCTAAAAATGCTGCCCAATTAAGGGCCGCCACAAAAATTGGCGAAGTCGCCCATAATTGAAAGGTTACGAACTTCTCATCGAATTCTGTTTCACTTCTTACAGAAGTGTAGCTATGTTGCTAGGGAATGAATATTATTAATTAATGGCACTTTTTTCTATTGAGAATGTAAATTAGCTGCTGTCAACATTTATTTTCGACCCGTTTTCCCTTCGTTTTAATGTGAAACTTAGATCAAGTATTTTTGTTGTAAAGCCAACTACGAACGTCGACAATAGTTGGCTTATTATGCAAATACTACTCTTCAAATTATGAATTAAAGTACGATTCTTTAAGTGTACAAGAAGTATTAAATTTTATAATTTTTTACAACTTTTTCAGCTCCCACTACTTTATTGTATTGTATTGAATGTTTTCAATACAGATATAAGACATTTATGCCCTGTACATGAAGGATAAAAGGATATACTAGAAAGTCCATGTGCCAAATGTATGAAACAGACAGAAGGAAGCGTGGTAGACCCAACATTATAGGTACATACAAGTATATGAACATCATGAAGAGACGAATCGTTATATGTAGACTGATCTGCGCGCCCGCTCATCTGCCCGGCCGTCTGCACGTCTGCCTGTCTGTGTGACCACCGAGAACTCAAAAATACATATTTTAAATAAAAGTGAATGAACCTAAAATGTTTAATATTGCTGACAAAAGTTCCAAGGCTAAGAATATGCTGACATATGTACAAGTGCAGGCCTCAAAGTGCAATCAATGTAATTTTAGCAAAAGTGCAATCAATGTTATTTTATTAAATAACATATTCGTATAATGTGTCATATTTTGAAGAAAAGTTCTTGTATATTTCAAGAAATTGTTTGCTTTAAAATGTAAACAACCAAGACGCAAAAGCAACAATAAAAGCTCTCCCAGCCACTTGCGCATCGCTTTGTCTCTTTGTCTCTAAAATAATGCAACTATTTTTATAAATCACAAAACTTACAACAACAACAACAAAAAGTTTGATGCTAAAAATAAGAATTGCAAGTGCAGAATAAACAGAAAACCTTAGCGGTGTCTGCAAATATGTGCCACACCCACACTTTTCGAAGGCGCCTGACCAACCAGCCTACATGCGCTCTTTCCAAAATCTCTCGCTATTTCTTTCTCTCTCTCTCTCTCTCTCTCTCACACTCTCTCTCAAACACACAAGCACGCATCATTCCCCGCTTTCTTTCACAATCGTCCTTCCCCACTCCCTCGCTGCATTTGGCCAACAGATGCGACGATTTTAACAGCGGCGCACGCTTATCAGCGCCAGTAATCGACAATTTGCACGCGCTCTGTTTTTCATTTAGCTCTCTAAACTGCAGGCACTGTTAGTAAATCGATGAAAACACAAAACAATAACAATAACCATAACAGATATGACATTGAGCGTCGAGTCTGTTAAAAAAACAAACAAAAACGAAAAACTTGCCCATAATCTGACAAGATGCTAAGTAAACGTAAAAAATAAAAACAGCAACATAACGGCTTTATAATGTGGAGAACGAAGAAGAGATTAAAGAGATTAAATAAGCTATGCATTTTTGTGTAACAGCTAAAACATTTTAATGGGCCTATTAGATAAAAAATCGTGTTAAACTAAAACCGCTGCTAAAAAGAACAAGTCATTCTAAAGGTCCTCGCAATAACTCTTTTCGCCCAAGTTTCTCCAAAAGTTAAGGTTAAATCTAACTTAGATAGTCACAAAATAAACATATTTTTTGAAAAATAAATATTAATTGAATTTAGAAGAGTCTCTCTGGACGATACATCAGTTTTAGTAGAGTACGCGTATTAGAAGAGCATTTGGGCTGATTTTTGACGCATTCACGATATATATTCATTCAACTAATACACATTCATTTACTATATAGTATATTGAATACTTGTAATTTGTACGTTCAAGACATATTATTTGTCAGCAAAAAGTAGAAGAAAGTACTTTTTATTTAAAATTCATTTCGGATAGATTAATTAGTAGTGACTAGTCAATTATTTATGGTTTCAAGTTTTCCAATTGCTTTTTATTTCTCATAATGAAAACATACTATGATTTGTTGCTTTTGTTTATTTTTTATTTCACTGCTGTAAGATGCGCATAACATTATCCTCAAAGACACCAATACTGAGCACATTTCATTAATAGAACAATTTGCAATTTCATAGAATTGTTTGTCATATGTACATATAGTACATACTTGTACATACATATATTTCATTTCATTGCCCATGTTTTTAATATTATTTGGCAGCTGTCTCAAAGGCTTTTACTGAAATATTTTTCATTATATTTTGTGTCATTTCTGCTGCTTTTGTTTAAATTAATATTGCTTCACTTACAATGCAATGTATTTTGCTGCTGTCTAGAATTTTTGTTTTCTTATTTCTGAGAATTGGTCGTTTGTTGAAAACACACGCGCACGCAACACGATATTTGTTGTTGGAGGACACTGAGATTAGAGCGTTTAGTGTTGAAACGTACGCGGCGATCGCACGACTGATCGACTGATCGACTGATCGGCTTAACCTGCGAGCATCCAGGCAACAAATTGACTGCCTGACTGATACACTTAATGACTGGCGACGTTTTGAACGGCAATTGTGCGAAGCAGCACAGAACAGAACCTGACTCGTCTGATTATAAAATAGTACTAAAAACTAAATCGAAATCAAATTCGAAATATAGCCAACGACCGCGCAAAGTATCAGAGACGACAACGACGACGACGAACCGCAGAAACGTCAACGCTGACGCTGACGTGGACGTCGACATCGACGCTTGTCGCGCCAAAAGCGCGAAATGAGTACTATATAGTACTATATATGCTAATAGATAACTGTATACACTGGCAAGCGAAAATTTAGGCGTGTATGAGTGTATTCGCTTGTTTTCATTCATCAAACGCCGACTGCGCTGCCGCGAGCTCTGTTTCTGCTGCTGCTGCTGCTACCGCTGCCGCGATGCTTATCAATTGCATGATGATGCTGCGCTGCCCAGCGCACGTAACTCATACGCCCCGTTGCCGTCCGTTGTCATTCGGTGACTTGGCATCGCGTAATTTGTCGTCTTGTTCCACAGCCACTAAATGTGTGCGTACTTGTACTTGCACAGACATAGTTTCGCTTTCTTTAGAGCAAGTGAAATTGAAAAGAGTTCATTATCATTTTGCTCCTTACACACTATTCATCTTCCCGCCCGCACTCTCCTCTCTACACATACAAATACATACACACTCAATAAGTAGTTCAGTGTCGATGTTTCTGTCCCATTTCCTTGCACAACACTCTTCTCATTACTTGCTGCATTGTTCGCTCAGAGAGGTGATCACAGTCCGATTGTCGGCGGTTACAGTAAGTGTTGACGCTGCCTTGTAATTAGCGATTAAGAGAAATGCTATGGTGTTAGGTGGGATTAGGGATTATCCTCCAACAAATATAAACCAAATGTCTGTGGAAATTATTCCAAAATGCAGCCCTTCTGATTTCTTTACAAAATTTAAAATGGCATTTATGCACTAAAAGCAAAACAATAAGCTTTGCTGAAATGGCAAAACATCCCTTAAATGTTTCTTTTTTGCATGAAATAGTAAACGAGCGACCATTTCGAAAAAACCTAAATGTTCAGGCAAAGGCGCTTGTGAAGTGAAGAAAAGCGACGACAAATAATTAACAGCAGAGTCTCAGCTGAGATGTTAATGTTAATTTAACAGTCTTATACGAATTTAATTATACAGCGCAGTTTTAAAGTAAGTGCTGTTAACATGCAAGTACATGTATGTTAGACATAACAGCCTGTTTAAGTCTAAAAAAGCGTATATGCAGATTTAATTTCTAAACAAACAAATAGTATAAGTCGGTCAATCAGTTAGCTTAGATTGTTTTTTGTTTAGTTTGCTATATTTAGGCCACTTATGTCAACACGATCCGTCGTTTCAATAGCCCGCTAAATACTCATACTAAATCCCACTTCATTAAGTACATTTTAGAAAGAAAGAGGACAGGAAAAAGCTATCTTAGCTTAGACAGCAGAGAAGTTTTTCTCTTTTTCAGTATATTATTATATTGATTCTTATAAAATATGTGAATAATTAAGTGTGTTATATGTACTTGTATGTTCATTCCATTCATTAATTGGATTTATTAAATAATTTTCAAATAATATATCTGTCAAGGGATGTATAAAAGTATCCTTCGCCCATTCTATCCATAACTTACTCTATCTATTTCTTTCGGAGATTCTTCTGATACCACATTATGCATATCGTTCTACCATTCAACATAGCCTGCTATTTGGAACTTGTGGTGCCCCCTTACAAGCGCTCATCCTCATTATCGTGTCGAGTGGACTAAATGAACTTTGCCACCTATAATATATATTTATAGAGACACAAATATATTGTGTACGTGCAATTTTTGTACACACAGCATGTGTGTATTTCAATATTAATAGCATGGGCAACACGCTCACATCTATTTCAAATTTCCAGTGTCAAAAATGAAGATCGACAGTTCCGGTCCAAATGTCGTTGGCAGGCATGGGCATAAATGCTTGCATGGATCTGGATATGAGAAAGAGGTGACCGAAATGCCCTACATTGTTGCTGTTGTTGTGTAAAGGTAGTTACAGTTAGTTATCATACGCTTCAATACAAAGGTATTGCGTGTTTTTGGTGACAAATGTAAAAAAGATCCCTTGCTAGTTCCAATTCCATTTATACTTCTCTGTATACTCGGAGATGTAGTTTACAGATAGGTATTTTTATATTAAAACAAATAATAGTGAATTTCGCAAAAAAAGAACAAAACAAAGTTAAACTAAAAATTTAAAAGTTCCAGTCATAATTACAAGAAAAAAAAAACTAACAAATATGATTAAACAAAATCAGTTGAAACACTAATATTCAATTACCGCTTTACATTATCCAATAACTTACAAAATTAATACTTGAATCAGTTTTTTTTAAAGCAGAAAGGGTATTTAAGCTGCTCATACTGGTTTTCATATAGAAAGCAAAGCGCTGGCCTCCATTCCAAGGGACTCTGACGACTGTGACAAATGCTGTCAACGCCATTGCAGGCAGTCGAGCCGTCCGGCATTTTAGATGGGCCTAGGCCACTTAGTTACTAACTAAACACAAACATACTAAATGACGAGCATCCCAACCAACGGCCGCTCATGCGTTTCCCACCAGCATGTGCTGCGCGCTCTGTTAGAGAAAACTAACCCCCAAGGCAAATCGAATTTAGCAGATCAAAGGCAGCAGCTGCGACGCAGCGGCGGGAGCGGTGTTGATTTTTATTACAGAGAACAAAAAACCAAAAACAAAAAAAAAAACAAATAGAAAAAGTAGAAAATAAAGCGACAATAAACCGGAAATACTCAACTAAAATTTGTGTGAGGCGCGCATTTTGGGCAACGGCGTTTGCTAAACTTTCTTGTCGAGCTATATAAATAATCTCTTTTTTATAAACATACACAGGAACATATGTATGTATATGCCAGAGCTCGGGTAACAAAGTTGAAGTGGTCTATGGCAATGGCAGCAGTTAAGCTACACTACAAAGTAGTTTAATTTTAGGCGCTTAGGAAATATTTTTCATCTCTGCTGTAACTTAAAATTAACTTTAATGGGGGCTGCTTTACCTATTTAAAATAGAACTTCCCAAATTGATATAAAGGAGAAATTAAATACATTTACCTACGACTTTAAAGAACAAAGGCAATTGTTTCGCTAATAACTTTTCTTAGAATTAACCGATTTAAATGAAACAAAAGTAGATAATTATATAGTTTAATTAAAAAACTTTTTTTTTTTAAACTCAAAAAAGGAAAATAAACTCGTATAGACTAGGGATTAGGAGCGTCTACTTACCAAGTTTGGTTTATGTACGCTCACCCGTTTGCAAAATCCAGGCGTTCATCCAGACAGACGAACGGACGGACGGACGTGTCTAGATCGAATATATAATATATATATACTTTATAGGGTCCGAGATGCTACCTTCTGTCTGTTAGAAGCTTTGCACAAACCTAATATACCCTTTTTACCCTACGGGTACAGGGTATAATTACCCTGCTCATCCATCTGTCTGTAATTTTATGTGAACAAGGCTGTCTGAATGAACGCCTGATTTCGAAAACGGATGAGCCCATATTCACCAAACTAGGTATGTAGACTCTCCAAATCTCATATGTGCACAGGGTATTTCAGAGTTGAATCCGCCTGACGGTAGCGTTCCATTCCTTTCTATATTATACTTATTGTTTTATTTATTATCACACATAAAATTCAAAAGCGTAACCTCTGAGTCGCTTTATTGATAACCTAATCTTAAAGTCTCAAGATAACCCAATGAGGCTGAGTCTCATGAAAACCAACATTTATTTTACTGCCATTCGCAGAGTCAGAAACGCGGAAACAGCTCGAGGACTAATATTAAAGAGTGATGGAATCATCCGCAATGTTTCCGCTGATTTTATTTTTAATTTGTTGCGCAACATTTTGCAAATCTACAGGCAACTACCATAATGTTATGGACAAAAAGACAGAAGTCTTTTTATTTTCAGAAAGATATGATAACAGAGCTGGAAGAAATGCGGCACATACTGCTAACAGAAGTTATCATCGCGGACATCGGAGACATCCGAAACAATTCACAAATATAAATCAAACGAATACGAAAGCATTATTAAAGAAAGGGATAGTCACATTGCGAAGCTACAAGTCCAGCTTGCTTCTCTAAAGAAAGAAATCACGGAATTCAAAAATCAGCTTGAAATAAAAACAGTGGAATGTGGAGAATGTGGAATGCAAGACTAGATGAAAAATCAAATCAATTAACAGCTCAGAATTCTATAATTCAGTCATATATCGTTAATAGCAATAACGGCGCTGAACGAATAGTAAAAGACAATGAATTTAGACTATCAGGCAAAGAGAATGACTCCGCAAGTCGGTTGGCGGCTACACAAAGCAGTTTTGGTCCTACAACTGTGTTGGAAAACAACAAAGAGATCCTCATTTGTGAGTCCTTTGAAAACTCTTCAAAAACTAAAGTCCTACAAATTCCGGGCATAGCTGAGCCATTCTCAGCTCTTTGTGATACTGGAGTAGCGGGTTCGGGCTGGATTGTGATTCAGCGTCGATTCGATGGTAGTATCGATTTTAATCGCATATGTGAGGATTATCGGTTATGGTTTGGCAATTTGAATGGTGAATATTTCCTTGGAATGGAAAAGCTGCACCAAATAATCAAATGGAAACCCCATATATACTGATTGAGAGAAACGACAATCAGACTTTTTATGTCCGTTTTGAACAATTTGAAATTGATAGCGAGGAGAGGGCTTACATAATAAAAAGAATAGGCAATTATATCGGTAACGCTACTATTTACGAAACACCGCAAAAGTTTACTAAATTTAGTAGCCGCGAATATAGACATTCTAAAATTCTCTGTGCATGAAGAAGTGGTTGGTGGTACCATTCTTTTTTGGAGTAAGTAGTAAATTTAAGATTTTCTTCCCATTATTATTAATATTATTAATTGACACTATCCACAGCAACATAAACGACCCATATTCTAGACTATCTTGGAACGATGCGAGATTGAAGTCCAAAAAACTGATGATCAAACCAAAAAAGACGACTGCAGGAATAACTACGTAAAGTTTTAAATTTTTGACGAAAATGTATTTGCACGTCAGTAAATAAATGAATAAAACCTATATCTTTATAAGTTATGAAATTCCTTGAGAAGTCCCTAGTCTTCACTAGCAAATATAACATATACTATATATATGTAGACAAAATATGCCAAACATGGTGCGTTCTTTCGTTCTTCCGATACCTACAATGTTGAAAATCTGTTCTCAACTTGAAAAACGATTGAAATAAAAATTATGTATATACGAAACAGTCTATACAATATACATTCGCTGACTTCTATAATTTTTAATTTATTTATAATCCTTTGGATTCCCTAGAACGAAGCAGGTTAAAATAATGTTGTAGATAATTGGCCGCGATGTCCAGTTAGAGAACCGATAATAAATGATTGTTGACTATTTTATTCAAACAAGAATCGGTCAGAAGTACCGACTGTTGATTTTTTCAGAGCGAGCGGGCGAGCTGACAGTATTACAAGTGTTAAAAACACTATAAAATTATATTTTGCGTTGGCGATCTTTGATAGATAGGGCTCCTTAATAGTATAAGCTTAAAACGAAACTTACCATTAATTATTTTTGTTTAACTTTAGCAAGACGGATTAATTGTGTAACTCCAAATATCTTAAACGACTGGAAGTTGGGAAAGTATATCTTTCATGGCATATTTAAACACGCTTTGTGTGATCAGTTTGCAATTTTCGACTGCATAGAAGAAAATGTAATAAGTTAGGTTTGAAACAAATGTCATTAAATTTTCATATTGTACCTTTACATTTAGTAAATATTGTGATTAAGCTTTAGCAAGATGCATTAAGTGTGTAACTCCAAATATCTTAAACGACTGGAAGTTGGGAAAGTATTTCTTTCATGGCATATTTAAACGGTCAGTGTCAGTTTGCAATTTTCAACTGCATAGAAGAAAATGTAATAAGTTAGATTTGAAACAAATGTCATTAAATTTTCGTATTGTACCTTTACATTTAGTTAGTATTGTGATTAAGCATCCAAACACTTAGTAGGCATAGCTCCAGCTCATCCCTTCTTAAAATAATAATGAAATGCCGGTTCACGGCTTACAAATATTTTCTCCATCAACGCCGTCAGCTTGGCTTATACATTTACAGATACATATTTGTATTTATTTTAAGTTTATATTATGTGTAGACGAATGCATTATATATTGATTAATAATGCGTTTTAAATTGATTAAAAATTTCAAGATCACAAATATTTCTTTTATCATATTTCTATTTAAGCAATAATGCGCAGAAAAGTGAAATTCAAAAGAATATTCACGCAGATCTGCAGGCTTTTTACATTTGTTTTCACGGTTTCTAAGACAAACTACGAGCTAAAAGAAGTGTTGTGGGTGGGGTGTGGGGGGACAGCATCATGTTTCTTGGTAAGGTGTTTTTAAAAACGTAATTCAAGGCAACATATTAAAAAGGTAATGGCAACTCCTTATTCTTGTTTGTTTTTGCACATTCTGCGACAATGTCGGGAATAGCGCTCAAAACCCAAATGGCAACTTAGTTAAACGAGATTTTACTTTTACAGGGATGTAGTGTGCGAGTGTGTGTGCGTGTGTGTGTGTGCGTGTGTAGGGTACGCTCCTTGGCTGACAGCAACAGTTGTTTTTACCACCTTTTGTGGCAGAGGCAGCAGCAGCAGCAGCAGCTGCCGGACGTCGTTTGCACACACATATCTATGTATGTATGCAGGCATGACAATGCCTCTGTGTGTGTGTGTGTGTATGTTTTACAGCTGTGGCAGTTATTGTTGTTGTTGCTCGTGCGGATCGACCCCTTTCTGTTTCTGCGCTACGCACGCACATCTTCTACTCCTCTGTTTTGGGTCGCCGAAATAGCAGAATGTGCGGCTCCGGCTTATGGATCATATAATGTATCCAGCCGCGGGATTGCTGTACGCCAATCGCACGCCATTCCGCCTCCGACATCAAGTGTGTTTTGGGCACCAATTTGACAAGCTCCTTCGGCAAGACAACATGTCTGTAATTGCAATGAGTTTGCAAAATAAATACACACACAAATGCAATTATTTATAAATATGTGCATACTACACGCACACACATACATACCTATACTCGAATTTTTCGTCGTAATATTTATCCGAATAGTAGATTTCCTTGCTCATGTTGGCAAATGTGTGAGCTGATGCTGCGGCTTAGTCCTGCTGTTGCTTTTGCTGCCACAAAAAACGATAACGATAGAGCCTGTGGCTCGGCCTTGGCAGAAAAGCGCGCGTGCGTGTGTTGGAATGTGCGCCGCCGCAATCTCTTGGCGTCCTTGTGCCTTCACTTAGTACGACACTTCACTGCTTTCACTAGTTTGCCGATAACTGTTTTGCACTTAATACACAGGCCTGTTTTCTATTAAGAGTTAGCAGTGACAAAATAGGCAATGTATAATTACAGAATAAATACAATTTCTTTAAAAATGATGTTTAAAAGCGACGCGGTCTGAGCTAGCGATTAAAACAGTAAAACAATCGATAGCACCGATATCTTCGCCACTTTAGCACGTGTGTGCGTTTCATAGCAAGCAGCTTTGAAACATGTAATTTATCGGTGTTTGACAGCACTGAAATAATTAACGGCATTCGATTTTCAATTTTAAAAGAATGCTAGGTATGATTATTCTAAGAAGCAATTATTTTGTAGCCATTTTTTCCAAAATGTTTTTTTTTATTCTCAGCCATTTTAAATTACGTTGTATTTCATACAATATGTTTATATAAAAATAGTTCTTCATCTCAATCTTCGTACAGTATTTAACATAGTGTGTGTGTAATTTAAAACTAAAAATTTCCTTGACAACACCCTAACCTAAAACAAAATATTGCATATCGTTTTAATAGGCTTGTAAATATAAAGGTATATGTGTATATATAGATAACCAACAAACTCACAGTACATACTAAAGTGTATAAAGTTTTGAGCAGCATATTGACTCCATTTCAATTGCAATCAATAATATAAAAATAGTTTTTTCTCGTTTTATGTTTGTGTTTAAAAATTAAGCAACAATTTTCCAAAATACCTACTTAAATACTAATAAAAAGTATCAAAAAGAAATGTGGGGGCAACAATTTTAAGTAATTTCTTCCTTTTCTTCCTTACTGCACTTAATAGCTAACAAGAAGGGCCTGTATGCGATGATATCGATGTGAATGATGAGGTGGGTGGTTCTGGGTTGGGGAACAATAGGGAGTGTTTGCATAATATGTATGTGTGTATTTGGCACTTGTATTGCACCATTTAGTAGCCCGTTTCGGGTTCCTGTTTAAGCGTCATGCGACAGGGTTCTGCAAAGGCAAATAGAAAATAAATATTAATGCAATGTTTCCATATCTACCTTTAAGTAGTTATATCGTTTTTTATTAATTTCAATTTGGATTTTCTTTCATGAGAAATCATTCCTCCACACAAATTTTTCTCAATTTACAAGTGGGCTGTAAAAAGTTTGCCTCAAAGAAGTTAAACTTTTATTGTTGAATGAATATACATATGTATGTTTTCAATTAATTAATTCTTAAACTCATCATGTGGTGTATAAACTCGTGGCTATACAAACTGAATGCATTTTGGAAATGCTTATATTGCTTATATACATAGAGGCGGAGATTCTCAACTCTATACTACTTGTATATATTAATAGGATTAAATTGAACGCCAGTCAACATTTATTCGGTCAGGAAATTCCCAAAGCTGTCCCCACTTCTCTATTTAATAACTCACCCATCATATAGCCGACGGGTGTGCCTCCAGGCCCAGCACCATTGGCGCTCGCTGACAGTAGCTCCGGCGCCCGAATCTTCAACGGCGTGCGTCGCAGCAGCTCCTCGGCGCTGCTGCCCTCACTACGATTGTACTCGTTGAGGGTCATCTCGGCAGGACTGCGCATGCTCAGCGCCGCTTCGGCCGGCGATGCTGAAATTCTTTGGTACGGATGCACGCGCTGTGGACTGTGCGGCTGCATAACGCCTCGTCCGCCATTAAAATGCCGCGCCGCGGCATCCAAATATGTTGCATCCTGCAGCAATGCTGAATGATTGTTGTTGTTGTTGTTGTTGTTATTATTATTATTGTTGTTGTTGTTATTGTTACTGTTGCCCAACTGCTCCGATTTGGGGCTGTTGCAGAGCGTGGAATTGCTATTGCTGTTTAGGGGCGGCGTGGCGGGTGCATTGACAATGGAGGCTCCGGAAGGTGCGGCGGCCGAGATTGCGGCCGCTGCTGCTGCCGAACTGGCCGTGTAGGCGCGAAAAGTGTCCTCCGCATTGTTGGCCTCGATCAGAGCCTGAATGTGCTGCACATCCAGATCCAAATTATGCTCCGAGCTGCTGGCCGTGGTCATCGTATCCAGCGTCGAACTGACCTGATTGTTGTCCAGGCCGCCACCGTGTGTGGGACTGTGGTAATCATTTGGCTGATTAGATGGCGATAGCGGCAAGGAATTATCGGCCAGCTCACCTGCAAGGCGGAAGCGAAAAATTAGCGGTTGTTGGGTATTAACTGATTCCATATAAAGATCCGAAACGATAAGGAAATAACAAGTGAAACTTTCCTTTTAATTTTTGAACGTGAATAATTAGGAGGCTGACTAAAGGCTTTAAATAATTTATAAGTTAGGGTACATATTGGAGCAAGAAATGCATTCAAACATTTTTTACCATCGATGCACAATATTTGGAAACAATTTATTAAATTTCCAACACCCCTTTATGGCATTTCCGTTCGCATTCTCTCAAATATTTTGGCCCACTATCTGATTAGGTAGAGGTAATACGTACCGCCCAATAGCATTTCCTGCAGCAGGGAATCGATGTGCGCCACACCAAAGATTTTCGCAAACTGTATCTGTTCAATCATTTGCCAGGTGATGGACTGAAGGACCGGCAAGATAAGCAAAATCTCGCCAAAACGACCACGCGACTCGTACTGACGATCCGATATATAGTCTTCGAGATTGTTGAGTATCTGATGACGCAAAGATTTAATACGATGGGGCTCGTTTAAACCCTTGGCATCTGTAAAGAAAATAGGTTCAATTGAGTAAAGATCAAATAAAAAAGTTATTTGAAAAGAGAATAAGGAAAGAGAATTAGAATGGTAGAAAAGAGTGTAGAGAGGAATCCAGAAGGAGATATCATGAAAGAATGATCAGTTATGAGCGATCAGCAGAGAGATTACGAAATGTAACAAATGAAAAATGAAAATACTTTCACACAAATAGCAGGCAAGAGAGATAAATAAATTTAATGAATCTAAAATACAGAAAACGAAAGAGAGTTCAGGAATGACAGTTCATAATCAGTAAAGAGGGAGCAGTTAAGAAGGAAAAGGTTACATCAGGAAAGCTCGGGTGAGAAAATAACTGGAAGAGTAAACAGAAACAACAGTTTATGCTACAAATCTCTGGAGCACTAACAAAAAGAAAAAAGGTTGAAATCAAAGGAAAGTTGAGCTTGTGTTGCACTTTCTAGCATCTACTTACTGGGATCAAAGAAGACGAGGGCTTTAATGCACGCAAACTCGGTATCATCGATGCCCACATCCTTCATAACAACGACCAGCTCGTCAATAATGCGCGCACCAATACGTGATATGTCCAAATTGGGCGAAACATGGGGATCTGGAAGAGTGGTAAAGTAACGTTGTATGTAAGTGCATGAATCTCATGGAATTTGAAAAGCACGAGCTCACCTGGACAATGTCTGGTGATCACACAGTTATTGCTCAGCAGCAGCACATCCTTCAGGTGCATGGAGCGACGGGACAGACCCAACAGCAAGTGCTCGCCTGCATGTGCACGCAGGAGCGCCACCTGATCGTCCAGTTGGAGTTCATTGAAGGCCGGAATCTGCTTGGCCCACTCGACCAGGGTGAGCAGCTGTTGCTTCATCGATTCGCAGACATCGTTGATGCTGGCAAATTGTTTATTGGAGAGATCCTCATTGATGTTTGGTTCCATCGCAGCGCCAGCCTTCGATTGCCGCGACTCGTTCTCGGCCTTCACCAGCGAGACGACGGAGAGACCATTGCCCGGATCAGGATCATCGTTTGAGGCTCTACGGCAGCTAATTCGATCACGTTCATTTTGCACTGCCTCCTTTTTCATGCCTGCCTTAAAACACTTCCTCAGGCGACAATAGCGACACTGATTGCGCTTATCCTTGTCCACGACGCAGTTGCGTGAGAATCTGAAAGAGCGATTATGAGCGAAAGGTATAATAGTTAGAAAGCGGTTTGGCAGATGGATTATAATTGATAGTTTATAATCAATCTCTAATTCTTGTTACCAATATTTCTATTATTAAATAAATTAATAAAAATCAACTTGCAAATAAGAAATGTCTTTTTGATCCAAACTTGTAGAATTATTATGCGTTATTTCTTCTAGGCATCTAATTTGTGGAGTTGGTTAAATAATAGAGATGTCTATCATGCTTTAGTCTCATTTATACATAACTTCCAGCAGATCTCTTTCAACTATATGTATTTATTTTCTGTGCAAATCTGACTTAATGCTATTCTGTTAAATAAATCACCTGCAGGTGTATTGATGATTTTTTCGCACGCTGCGACGAAAGAAACCCTTACAGCCGTCACAACTAGATGCTCCATAATGCTTGCCCGTCGCCCGATCTCCACAGATCGCACAGACTGTGGGCGATTGCTGTTGTTGTTGCTGCTGCTGCTGTTGTTGTTGCTGTTGCGCCGCACTTGAGCCGTTGCCGTTTCCACTACTAGTATTGTTATTATTATTATTATTATTATTGGGTGAGTACATATTGTTGTTGTTGTTATTATTATTATTATTATTGCTGGCATTGCTATTGCCATTGCATAAGGCGAAATTCTCGCTGCTCTGATTGCTGCTATTGCTCATGCCCAGACCCAAGCCATTGGGACTCAGCGCATGGCCAATGGGACTGTGCGAGCTGGCGGGATGAAGGGGCATGGTGTCGGCATGCATCATATGACTTTCGGCCGATTCTGTAATGGAATAGAGAGAGAACGAGGGAGAGAGAGAGAGTGGACATTTATTAGTCAGAGAGAGCAACACATGCCTAAACAATTGCTTATTAAACGGATCGTTTATTGGCACAGTTCTAAAGTAATTGTCGAGATTGTTTGAGGTACAATCAGCAACTCAATAATAATATGATATAAAACTATTTCAGGTTTTGATCTACACAAAAACAATTTCTATATGTTGTCATTTAGCGTACAGAGAGAGCACGGTTAGAAAATAGAACCGAAAAGGGTTTGGGGTTTGGGGAGCGTTTTGTGAAACTACTCTTAAACTTTGTACTTAAATTATAGAGAAATTATTCTCACATTTGCTCAAATCAAATTCATGAACTATATCTATAATTGTATGCTATAAGATCGCCAAGAAAGGCTTTCATGTACAAGCCCTCGTATACCCATGGAGTTCTATATACTAGTTTATAAAGTGAAATAAGAAAATACAAATTTGAATATTCAAGATCTGAAGTTCTTTTCTATAGAGAGAATAATTGCAGCGTTTGCACAGTTTTAGAGCGACTGTAACGTTGCTTTCTCAATAATAGTTTGAGGCGATTGAAAACAAGGAATGTAAATGATTTGCCGCTACACAGTTTGAAAGTCACGATTCACAACTCACAAACTCGGTTTTGAAATTTACCACAAACTGTAACCGTTTAGGAGTCACTGACACGCACTGCTGGCTAATAAACAGTTTGAGAGGCAGCCACTGCTGCTATCACACTTTTTCTTTGTCTATCGCCGGACAAACAGACATTCACACATTCTAATAAACTTGTTATTTGTTTATTAGCGGACAGACAGACAGAAACATTCTTCAACAGTTTGAGTAGCGATAGGCAATTTGTGCTATGCGCAATATTTCAAAAATGGCAAAAAATAAGTAAATATCGCGCAATAATGCACGAAAACAACAATAATAGTAAACACAGAAACACACACACACACACCGTCACTTGAGGCCGTGTGGCTGGCGCTGCTGCCCCGACGTCGTTTGGCCCCCTTCGCCAGCCCCAATGTGCTGCCCCTTCCACCGCTGCTGCTGCCACTGTTGCTGCCATTAAGAGCTGCCACTTTACGTGTGCTACCACGCAACAAGTTGTTGTCGTTGTTGCGACTACGAATTTTGACTCTACCGGACTTGCGCACCATTTTAGTGCAACTGATTAATGAAAAAGCGAAACGACATACTAGCCGCGACAAAAACTTTTTCACTGAGCGCAAGCGACGCACACATGCCAAGCCCCTGTTAAAATGAATCGTATGTTTTACACTACGGTAGAACCTCGCTATAACGACACTCTCAATTACAGTATTTGTTCGTGCTATGAACTACTTTCTAACTAGTAGTAGTAATTAATTTTAATTACCTACCACAAGTAATTAATTAGTTAGACACGACTAAAAGTTGGAAAAATGTTTTTTTGATTTAATGCATCCATCCATCTAGCCATTCATTCTTAATAATATAATTCATTCATTCATCATATATAATTGATTAAAATATTCAATACTATTCCTTATATTCTTCCTTAAAACTCTGCCAAACTTTTGATTTGATTACAAGGCATTTAACTTGTGTGAATAGAACATTATAGTACCAAATTTTTTTAAATTGTTTACTACTTATGTTAAATTAAAGTTTTAAAAGAATTGGACTAGAATGATTTTAAGTGGATCTAAGATTGTAAAATGTTCAAAATTGTACGATAACTCGACAAATTGAAGATCCGAAGCATTTTAACAAATCAGCCCGCAAATGTATGTATATATAATGATAATATTTCCAAACTCTCTTATCTGAACAAATAATAAGTTTTTAGGCAAAACTATTTCAATCTTGCAAACGTGTATAAGTTCTTTATACGATTTAGGGGCCATTTTATAGTGTTTCAAAAAGGTATAAAGTAACATTTCATCCACAAGCAAAAACAAATCGTTGAGCTAATTATCTCAAAACTTTCTCTCCCAATTTTTTTCTCAACGCAGACCCCCGCAAAGCCATCATAGAGAATCTCAACTTTGTTGCCCGTACGTTTGTGCTGTATTTACATACACACACACATACACAAATGTGCGTTTGTATGTGTGTGTAAATCAATTCAAAGCGTCTTTGCATATTGCGGCTCCCTCTCAGCGGGAGAGAGGAAGAGAGCAAGAGCGTGTATAGATCGCGTGAGCCAGAAACCAGACTTGTACACACACACACCCATGTATACATATGTATGTATATACACACACACTCGCACATTTGTATATCCGTGTGCATGAGCGTAGCCCCACAGCTGAAGATAGAAATTTATTTTGGAGACAACAGCGTAAATGAACAGACAGCCTGACTGACTGACTGACTGACAAACAAACATACTATAAGTGTGTAGAAAAAAGCCGGCTTTAAATTGATCGTCCGCACGAGTGAGGGAGAGAGCCAACTAACGAGCATGCATTGGCTATGCATGTGAAAACGAGAAGCACATACATACATACAATAAGAATAATAAATATAATGCAAACATACAGACATAGATAGATACATATGTATGTATGTATAATAAAAGCAACTAGAACTGTCTATTAGTTCGATGCATGATATGGGTATAGGCCAGTGAAAAAATGTTAGAAATATTGAAGATAAGCATCCATATAAGTATGTGCATTCAATTTTAATTAAAATGATGAATAACAACTGATTTGTAATGAATACGTTATAGAATTTTGAAATATTTCTGCGAATGTAAGTACAAATATGCACTTTAAATACACATTAATCGGTCATCACAAGATTATAGATCAACATTTCAAGATTATCAACACACGTTGTTTGTTTTATTTGGAATTAGTTATTACTAAACACATATTTGTATGACATTCACTGAAAAGTATCAGGAGAATATTCGAATTGAGTTCCATAAACTCCTTAGTTTTGTGAAACGGTTAATAGAAAATGTAGGCCACTTGAAATAGAACCTATAAATGCTATCAAATTCAACAGTCGGATAACTATATCCACAATTCTCACATTGGCAGTTCAGGAAAGAGCTTAGATGCTTTACAGCATCCACCCACATACCCTACTTAATTCATATATCAACTTTATTAACAGATAACAGTTTATATACAAAAATGTGCCCATGCCATATACTTGTATAATAGAGCAATATAACAGATCTTAAGTCATCTTTTATCTTATCTAATAATTTCACTCACTACGTGAAACAATTTTCTTATCAGGAAATTATAATATAATTCTTCAAATGCGATATAAAATATCATGTTTGTTGTTTCAGAGACTTATACATGAATCTCTATTATATTTTCTCACAATATTTTTGTTGAATACTTTCTACTGAAAAGGTATCTTCAATTTGTGATGATCACAATTACATGATGGGGGCTTAAGATGCTGAGGTTCCTAGTTGCTGGCATCTAGTATTTGGCAAAATTAAATGAGGCATGTGAAATAATTTGAAATCGTCGAGAAGATTTCGATAGAAAGCAAAAAATGGCAAACGCAATCATGTTTACTATGCCGCCAAAGAGACGCTAAATTTCTGGAAGATTGTTAACCAAACTCTTTAACACCTTAATTAAACAAGCACTAGAGCATTAAACACAACACCACAGCCATTTTTAATTAACACCTATTTTTTTAGACGCACACCGACAGGGTTTATTGTTAAGGCAAACAAAAATGTAAAAAAAGGCGAATCAGAATAGATTTAGTGAGTAAATGAGAGGCTTATCTCCTGAAGCTACGCAACTAACTATTTACTGCATACGAGTATTTATAAATATATTATTTTAAACTAAAATGTTTTTTAGAATTTTTTTACTAACAGAATTGTTTTGGGAACTTCACATCTATAATATCTTGATATGTTTTCATTATCTTTGACAATTTCATTCGAATACTATTAACTTGGCAGAAATAGCTGGTTCGGTTTAATATTTGAAGACAATACTTTACTAAAATATAGTTTGTTTTTCTTTTGGATTTATACATATTTGCCTCAAACATGATTGTTATTACTTGTATTATTATGACTTTAGGATTTCAACTAACCAAATAAATAGCATATGGATCTAAAGATTCTTCTGTTATAAGCAATTTGGTGGATTTTGAAGAGACCTAATAATAATGGTAAAGTCAAATTCTTCTCCAAAATTGTTTGACTCTTGTTGTAGTTTTTGTCGCCTCTCATACGAATACTAATGATAATGTAAAGCCCGACTATATCAGGCCTGGTAGTTGTTATGATGTCTAAAAATATGTTTTCACATGTGTGCCTTTTCTTCAGCTGCAAATTATAATGCGGCTATAATTTTGTGGCATAAAGTAAACACACCAACACACATAAAAAAGAGAGTATAAACAAAACGTATCTGTGTGGATTTGTGTTTGTGAGTGGAGTTTCTGCTCAGTTGACTAGATACGAATATTCCGCGATTGTTGTTGCTGGAGAAATAGTCGCGCTGCAAATACGTGTATACTCGTGTTTGTGCTGCGTCATCATTAGAATTCATATTGTCTGATATGCCATGTCACCGTTAGTTCTGCTAAATGGACTGTTATTGTTGTTGCTGATGGTGTTGTTACGTTTCTAAATACGGGGGTCGTCTTAATTTCTAAACGCTTTTGGGTCATAATGTTAAATTAGTTAGTTAGCTGCAAACTCCTCTTGTTGTTGTTTTTGTGGCTAACACGATTTTTCGATTTCGTTTTGTGCATTTGTTGTTTTGCTTGTTTTCCTTTTTTTCCTTTACACGTTTTTGTGTTCAGCAAAAGCAACAACAACAGGAATTGTTGATAAGCGGACAAAACAAAGTCTGCGACAATGTGTTAAGTGCTAAGCGCGTTTAATTAATTAAATTATTTAATCATTTTTATTTAATAGTTGTCTAGCCAAGGCGAGCCCCCAAAAATTGCGCCGTGCCCCAAAAAATACCAAAAAATCAACTGAATT